GGAGGGGGAGGGGGGATAGGAGAAAGTGTTATTTTCATTATTTTATTTCGAATTTTGGATACAAAAAAAAAATACATAATACGTACATAGTTGCATAGTTAAATCACCTTCTATTAAACTACTTATTTGTGTAGGAATGTTATCATTATTTGACTCTTTTTTTCTCACTTGTTTCGTCATAAGTTGATTTTTTAAAAAAAATAACAGACAAGATCCAAGAAAAAAAAAGTGGAAGGGAGGGAAGGGTGGAGGTGACTGTAGAGAGCAGAGGACTAATCCTTTTTTTATTGGAAAAATTGTGCATTATAACAAATTATTAATTCAAAATAAATATTATAGCTACAGTTTCATTTAATTCCAATTCACAATAAACTTTTTGTCATTCGCCTCTCTCCCCTAAATCTCGCTCGCCACTCTCACTTTATACAAACACAAATGTGTAAATTGTATTTGTGCTTGTATAAAGCGAGAGAGAACTTTATATATAAATACAAATACATATATCTTCGTCATATTCACTTATAATTATACAAATATAAATATCCCCCTCCCTAGTTCTCTTTTGTCCTTCTCTCTTTCTCGCTTTATACACACACAAATTATACAAATGCTGTATAATTTGTGTTTGTATAAACCCAGAGAGAGAACGAGAGAAATTTGATATACAAATACAAATGTTTTAACTCGATTCAATTGTATACAAATTCAAAATTTATGCAGAAATACAAACACAATCATTGATACGTATGCATAGTAGTTACATATATACAATTATCTAACCAATATACATATATAATCGCTGCGATTTTATACAAATCAGATGCCTGCGATTTATACGAATCAGATGCTCCTATGTTTGCTATGGAACGCAAATAACAAAACTGTAACTATAGAGCGCTAATATAATTTTTTATTTGCTATTCCTAAAATTTGCTTCTTTTTATTTTTAATTTATTATGGAACCCAAAATCAAGCCATATATTCAGTAATTTCAAATTATTTAATAAAAAGGACCTAAATATCCTTAAACTATGAGATTTGATATAATATTACTCCGATCCACCTTAAAAGTGTGGACTATTAGAAATAAGAGTATTATTTAACCAAAAAATTGACACCAAAAGTATTTGAAGGCCGAAAGATGGATAAAAAATAATTTTATACTAATTCGAATTATGAAGAGGCATTTTCAACCCTCTTCCACTAAAAAAAGTAAATTAATTTCATGGATTGCTACGTCACTATTCCTTTTATAATGAAAACCACTGAATTTGACTTTAGTACCACAGAATAGTCGAGTCACTCAACTTAATTTGCTTTTAAGTGTCAAAAGTTACTAGAAGAAAATAAAGGAGACATGGTGATAGATATTGAAAATATACGTTAATTACATAATATATGTTACATATATTTCGTGTTAGTTACGTAGATATACGTTAACTATTACATATAATATATGTCATGTGCTTTAGGTGATATATTTTAAGTATTTACTTTTTCCATAATCAACCTTCAGTATACACATAAAAACTTCTTTAAAAATTGAACTAAAAGTATTTAGTAAGAATACTCTAATATATATTAAAGTGATTAATTAAAACATGCTGTAATTTAAGTCTCTAGATAAAATATATAACTTTTTTTGGTTTTAATTTGTTTGTCCCATTTTAACTTGGTATAAAGTTTTTTTTTTTTAAAAAAAACTTTTGAAATTTATAGTCTTAAATTAAAAATGTGATAAATGTATCAAAATTTTACCTTCTGTCCATTTTTACTTGTTTATTTTGACAAATCAAGAAAGGATAATTTTTTTAATTATATTGTCAATTAATTACTTTAAAAATTTGAAAAAGATAGAACTTGTTCAAAATTTTAAATTTTTAATTCATTTATTTCATAATTAACGAAGATAAAATGATAAAATTATTATGTCAATCATTAATTTTTTAAAAATAGATAAATAATTAAGAATAAAAAATATATTTAATCCTGTACCTCTTTGTTCTTTTTATTTTTTTTGGTCGAGTGAGAAAAAGATTGAGAGAGAATTACTTATAAGGTATGAATCAAATTCTCATCAACAAAATAAAAGTTAAATAGTCAATCAACCAGCTAAAAAAGAAGAAGAAGATATTTGTAGGGATGAAAGGAAAGCAGAGGATGAGAAGTTGCAACGTTGCGACACCGTTGTTCACAAAGCGGCATCCATTTGAGCCACACTTGACATGATGATGAGTGATGACTATCTCTCACTTCTCCTTCTGCTTCCTCTCTTAGCTCCGGCCATGAGAATCCTCACTTCTCCTTTCCCAATCGCCCCACCTCACTCTAAATCCATCATACCCAGAACTAAATTTCATCAATGCAGAGTTGCCATAAAGCCACCACCACCTAACTTCAATTTCAAGAATGAATATTTCAGCACCTCTCGGGATGCTATTGAACAAACCCATCCCGAATTGCTCGATTTGGCTGATAATGGAACTCTGTTTCTCATCAAGAAGAACCAATTTGGACCTGTTCCATCGTGGAGAACCGAGTTTGTTGAACCAGAGGCTATTTGGCTGATTGGAACGAACCATCTTTCTATGCAATCGGCTGTGGATGTTGAAAGGGTCATCCGTACTCTCAAGCCGGAGAATGTGGTTGTGGAGCTTTGTAGAAGCAGGCAAGTAGCTATCTCTGAACAAAATTTTAAATTTGGTTTGCCTTCCAACTGTTTGTATAATTGCGAGAATGAATAACTGATTTTCTTTTGTTGAAATAATCACATCCTCAAAAGCTGCTCTTATGGGGTTACCGTATCGTCCCCGTGAGCTATGACTCTGCCATTTTTGCTCCTTCTAGTTACTAATTGATTCATAACAGGTGTGATTATGAACTTGTTCAATCTCCATTTTTGTTTAACTTCACTTGTTGCAGAGTTCAGGGCTGGCATCATGTACACTTCTGACGAAATTGATCTCAATCAGCCCTTAAAATCAAACATGTTCTCTTTGAGTGGAACTGGGTTTTTCGGTGCTGTTGGTCGTAGCATTAACTTGGGTAATTACTAACCTTTAACTTTATATGCTATGTATGCTTCCGGAGTATGATTTATCAAGCTATTTGATGCGATAGGGGGTCAAACTGCTCTAGCATTACGCGTCTTGCTGGCACTTTTCTCTTCAAAAATGTCTTCAAGTGCTAATCGGCCTTTTGGAGATGAGGTAGTTCTGTGGACTGTGGAAGATGTTCCTAATTTACACTTCAGATAGTTCCAATGACTTCGTGAAGTTTTCTGTTTCTGTTTGCAGTTCCGTGCTGCTCGAAAGGCTGCTGAGGATACTGGTGCTCAAATTGTATTGGGGGATCGGCCAATAGAAATAACTGTATGCTGCACTTACACTTAGTCCAATGTAAATTTCCTTTCCTAGGATACTTTTGGATTTTATGAAGTGGTAAAGTTACTTTTCGATTTCTAGAAAGAACAATTCTGATGACTTCTCCTTTATGTATTAGATGGACTACCTGGTCTTGCATGCAAAGCAAGACAAGTTAATCTATTTGATACTTCTTGTTTCTCTCAAGTGCATCTATGAGATGCACAATTTGGTCTTACAGAGTTACATGTAATGCTCGGAACTTTATTATTATTAACTTCTGTTGTCAGCTTGAACGAGCATGGACTTCACTAAAATGGAAAGAGAAGACGAGCCTTCTACTCTCTGTCTTTGGCGGAATAACCTCATCCGCTGAACTATCAACAAAGGCATTGAAGGTTTGCTTCTCGTATCTATGAAGTCTTTCTAAATACTACTGATGATTGTTACTCGTCAACTTTTTCAAGCATTACCTCTTATTTGTATAGGACCTCAGTTAGCAAATTAATAGTCTGACAAAACCTAAGTGGCATCATTATACATGGTTTGTCATCCGTATTGTCTTAAATGCTATAGCAATTACAAAATGGATTAATTGGTGCATGTTCTGTCATGACATTGCCTACTTCAGAAATGATTTACCGTTCAGATGCCTGAAGGACCAGTCCTCCCTCTCCAGCCAACACCTTATCTAAGCTTCCTTTTGTCTACTATTACTCTATTTTAAGAGCTTTGCCTGTTGTCTGCTCTCTTCAGGGGGAAACTAATGCTGATAACTATACATGCAGTGCCATTCTATCCAATATGGTGCCCTCTACCATGTTAGTTATTCTTGATTCTATTTTCATTCTTTTCTATGTTGTGGCAGGAATCAAGTTCTGATGATAGTAGCTTTCAGCTGTATGAGAAATTAAGCTTTTCATATCCATCACTTCTGCAGCCACTCCTACATGAACGTGACACGGTTAGTTGCTCTTCCCTCATGAACAGTCTCAAGTAACTCAGAACGAATGTTTCATTGGAAACAGCCTTTTTACTGATGGATATCATGGCAAAAAATGGACACGGTGTTTTCAGGATCAAATTGAAAAGAGAACTGCCATTTCACTGATTTATCCATCTTGTCTTTCGTGTTCGTTGGAGAGGATATAAATAACTGGGATCTATAATATTAATTATTTGCAGAGTAAAAGATAGTTCTGCAGCTTTCTATTGATTTTAAAACCATTTAGATCAAATCATTTTTTTTCCCTTTTGCTTGTGACAGTCTTTCTTGTTTTCTTTGCGATTATTCCTTTAGTTTCTTGCTTGGTCTCTGAAGAGGAGCAAAGCTGTGAACAACTGTAAGCAAGTTGTCGGAATCATTGGGAAAGGTCACATGAATGGAGTAATATATTCCTTGGTGTCTGATCAAGGAAACTTGCGTTTTCGAGATCTAGCTGGGAAGAGTCCTTCAGGGGGACTCTCTGGCTGGACAACTACCATCTTTGGAAACCTGGTTAGAGACACTATAATTGGTGTTCTCCTGTGGCTATTGTATGAACAACTAACCAGTGGTTTGAAGTTGATTGATTAAACTGCAACACCAACTTTCAGACTCCTTGTATGATTCACAAACACTCAAGTTAATTCAAACAGAGGAATGAATACTCCTATCTGAACAGTCATTCCGAAAGAATATTAAACGTTATTCTGGTTCAAACAGAGGAATGAATACTCCTATCTGAACAGTCATCGAAGAGTTATGAAGAATGGAAATAATTTAACAATTATCATGTTAAACTCTTAGATGGTAAATACAACAATATAGTCATGTTTTTGGGGGAATCCTTCTATACTAGAAAATTCGTTGATTCTGGTTGGATAAGACCATCTCCAACCCTACTCTATTTTACTCTCCATTCTCTATATTCGGAGAGTAAAATAGAGAATGCCCTCTCCAAGCACTCTCTACTTTACCCTCTACTCTCCAATTATGGAGAGTTGAATAGTTTGGAGAACTAGTATTCATACTCTCTATTTTACTTTTTTAATATTATATTATTATTTTGTAATTAACATATTATTTTTCATATAAGACTATTAATTAAATCTCTAATATTCGTAATTCTTTTAATATATACTACTTTCATCTCAAATTAATAATATATATATTTTTTAATTTTCATCATTTTGTGATACAATTTGATGTTATTATTAATTTTCACTATGAAGAATGCACAAAATTTAAATGATAAGATATACAAATTTGAATTTAAAAATACAATACATAATGTAATAATTTAAATACAAGATAACAATACAATACATAACATAATAATTTTAAAAATCACAACAATAATTTAGTAATCCGGTAGTTCGTTTCTAGATTTAACAATATTCGAAAAAGGAAGTATGTAGTGTATGATTTAGAGAAGTTGTGGTTGTAATTGCAATTGTGCTTGTCGATTTCATTTTCCAGTTATTCGTAGTTGTTCTTTAGGGATTTAGAATAAAATATAATTTAATATTTAATAAGGAATTTCAAAAATTAAATTTTATATAGCATGAAAATTATGTAGGATGATTATTAAAGAAAGAAAAGATTTATATTACGAAATAAGAAAACAAAAATGAAATAGATATAATAATATAATATTGAGAGGAGAGAAAAAATTCTTTTTTAGAGAGTAAAAATAGAAAATTGGGTTGGAGTTGATTGTTTGAAAAAATAGAAAATTCTATATTTAGAGAGTAAAATAGATGGTAGGATTGGAGATGCCCTAAGTCATAAGGAAGATCATTCTTCCACAAAATACTGAATTATTATAAGTGTTTGGTGATCATAATAATACTTGATGAATCTGAAATATGATTCCTTTGTGGAGGATAACTTTTAATAGAGAACTCTATATTTAGAGAGTAAAATAGAAGGTAGGATTGGAGATGCCCTAAGTCATAAGGAAGATCACTCTTCCACAAAATACTGAATTATTATAAGTGTTTGGTGATCATAATAATACTTGATGAATCTGAAATATGATTCCTTTGTGGAGGATAACTTTTAATAGAGAACTCTATATTTAGAGAGTAAAATAGAAGGTAGGATTGGAGATGCCCTAAGTCATAAGGAAGATCACTCTTCCACAAAATACTGAATTATTATAAGTGTTTGGTGATCATAATAATACTTGATGAATCTGAAATATGATTCCTTTGTGGAGGATAACTTTTAATAGAGAACTCTATATTTAGAGAGTAAAATAGAAGGTAGGATTGGAGATGCCCTAAGTCATAAGGAAGATCACTCTTCCACAAAATACTGAATTATTATAAGTGTTTGGTGATCATAATAATACTTGATGAATCTGAAATATGATTCCTTTGTGGAGGATAACTTTTAATAGAGAACTCTATATTTAGAGAGTAAAATAGAAGGTAGGATTGGAGATGCCCTAAGTCATAAGGAAGATCACTCTTCCACAAAATACTGAATTATTATAAGTGTTTGGTGATCATAATAATACTTGATGAATCTGAAATATGATTCCTTTGTGGAGGATAACTTTTAATAGAGAACTCTATATTTAGAGAGTAAAATAGAAGGTAGGATTGGAGATGCCCTAAGTCATAAGGAAGATCACTCTTCCACAAAATACTGAATTATTATAAGTGTTTGGTGATCATAATAATACTTGATGAATCTGAAATATGATTCCTTTGTGGAGGATAACTTTTAATAGAGAACTCTATATTTAGAGAGTAAAATAGAAGGTAGGATTGGAGATGCCCTAAGTCATAAGGAAGATCACTCTTCCACAAAATACTGAATTATTATAAGTGTTTGGTGATCATAATAATACTTGATGAATCTGAAATATGATTCCTTTGTGGAGGATAACTTTTAATAGAGAACTCTATATTTAGAGAGTAAAATAGAAGGTAGGATTGGAGATGCCCTAAGTCATAAGGAAGATCACTCTTCCACAAAATACTGAATTATTATAAGTGTTTGGTGATCATAATAATACTTGATGAATCTGAAATATGATTCCTTTGTGGAGGATAACTTTTAATAGAGAACTCTATATTTAGAGAGTAAAATAGAAGGTAGGATTGGAGATGCCCTAAGTCATAAGGAAGATCACTCTTCCACAAAATACTGAATTATTATAAGTGTTTGGTGATCATAATAATACTTGATGAATCTGAAATATGATTCCTTTGTGGAGGATAACTTTTAATAGAGAACTCTATATTTAGAGAGTAAAATAGAAGGTAGGATTGGAGATGCCCTAAGTCATAAGGAAGATCACTCTTCCACAAAATACTGAATTATTATAAGTGTTTGGTGATCATAATAATACTTGATGAATCTGAAATATGATTCCTTTGTGGAGGATAACTTTTAATAGAGAACTCTATATTTAGAGAGTAAAATAGAAGGTAGGATTGGAGATGCCCTAAGTCATAAGGAAGATCACTCTTCCACAAAATACTGAATTATTATAAGTGTTTGGTGATCATAATAATACTTGATGAATCTGAAATATGATTCCTTTGTGGAGGATAACTTTTAATAGAGAACTCTATATTTAGAGAGTAAAATAGAAGGTAGGATTGGAGATGCCCTAAGTCATAAGGAAGATCACTCTTCCACAAAATACTGAATTATTATAAGTGTTTGGTGATCATAATAATACTTGATGAATCTGAAATATGATTCCTTTGTGGAGGATAACTTTTAATAGAGAACTCTATATTTAGAGAGTAAAATAGAAGGTAGGATTGGAGATGCCCTAAGTCATAAGGAAGATCACTCTTCCACAAAATACTGAATTATTATAAGTGTTTGGTGATCATAATAATACTTGATGAATCTGAAATATGATTCCTTTGTGGAGGATAACTTTTAATAGAGAACTCTATATTTAGAGAGTAAAATAGAAGGTAGGATTGGAGATGCCCTAAGTCATAAGGAAGATCACTCTTCCACAAAATACTGAATTATTATAAGTGTTTGGTGATCATAATAATACTTGATGAATCTGAAATATGATTCCTTTGTGGAGGATAACTTTTAATAGAGAACTCTATATTTAGAGAGTAAAATAGAAGGTAGGATTGGAGATGCCCTAAGTCATAAGGAAGATCATTCTTCCACAAAATACTGAATTATTATAAGTGTTTGGTGATCATAATAATACTTGATGAATCTGAAATATGATTCCTTTGTGGAGGATAACTTTTTTTTTTTTGGTCAATTTTCAAAATGTTAAATTTTTTGGTCAAGTCGATCATGGTAATTCTGCTTTTATTATATATTTTTTTATGTTGGAAATGTTTTATAAGGAGAATTTGATATTAAAAAATGACATCCGGATACATTAAGTTCTCGCTAAATGCAGTGTATAGAAGGATTGGATCACAATGATCTATTATACACAATTTTATCCTACATTTCTGTAAGAAATTATTTTCACAGCTCGAATCTGTGATCTCCTAATTAAAGAAGCTAAATGAAGATGGAATATTTTTCATATCAATATCATATATTCTGATTTCATTATTGTATATTCTCTGATTCTTTACCTTTAATTACTTGATAAGATTCATTAGTTTTACTGATATTGTGGGATCTTTTGCCACATAATTCTTTGGGCAAACTACATAAATCCCACTAGTTTCGGTTCTAATTACTAAGATTCCCGATAGTTTCAAATATTACTTCCTCTACCATATTTCATGCTTATTAGGATACATGAGTATGAATCCGTGAGATACATGTATCTGCCGAATTTTAAAATCGAGATACTTATTTTATTTGTTTAAATTAATTAGTTGTAACTGATTTCCTAAATTAGAGGAGTAATTGAGATACAAGTATCTACCATATTTTGTGCTTAGGGTACATGAGTCTGAATCAAGGAGATACAGGCGCCTGCCCGGATTTTAAAAGTGAGATACATATTTTATTTGTTTAAATTAATTACTTGTAACTTATTTCCTTAATCAACGAAGTAATTGAGATACATGTATCATTACTCGCGAGATACATGATGAATAGTCAGCCATTTTAATTGGATCGATCCTAAACTTAGTTCTACTCTCCGCTCGAATGTTGGAAGATGAATAGTCAGAACTTGCAACCATTGCAACATTGTTAACGAAAACATACAAATAAAAATGAAAGTCAAATATTAATCAGCCATTAAAATAGTATGAAGACTAACAAAGTTCAACCAATGAAAAAAATCCTAAAATTTGAACTTTGAAACTACTACATCTGTGAATTAGATACATGAAAATGGTGTCAAACAAAAATACATCAACCGGAAAAAAAACTACTTTACCTCTATATATAATGCTGCTTATGTAAAGTTGGGTATGAAAATTTTACATCCAAAATATGCATTGAGTAGGTTTTGAAGAAGGGGTAATGGAAGATGAAGGATAATAACGTGTAGGTGTGGGTAAAGATACAAAGGAGACGTGTGATTGGGGAGGGAAACGGTGGAATTGAAAAGAGAGAAATTGATTTGAATTGTAAAAAGTCCCAATAATTAAGGAAGTATAATGTTAGGATAATTATTAATTACCACTTTTAATGGGATTGTGTATCTGATTATATTTTTTTTTAAATACGGTATATTTATTAAAAAATGGTATTATAAGTAATATTTTTCAACTATTGAGAATATATGTATTTAT